AACTACAGCAAAATGAGACACTTTAAGGCTTAAAAAAATCTACCTGTCAACACACATTTTAATGTCGAAACGCAAAATCCTAGATGTTAACGGTGTTCCCTATGAAAAGGTTGCTGCTTTTCCTCTTTATGTACTCACAGTTCGATCACGCTTCAGTCTGACCATTACTCGTTGTCTATTTTCCCAAAATGTGTCATTTTCCTCTTTGTTTCTGGACACCTCCCGGCCATGTAACAGTTGCTGTGGCCTAATAGGGTGATTATGCACACTGAAATAGAAAAGATGCATTCACCACAAAATACTCATCAGGTTATCGTCATTACCGTGGGGGCTTTCTTTTCCATAATTACAGACCCAGAATCACTTCACAGGCTTCCCATAGTCGGAGTTCCTCAGCTATAATTGGACAATCGCTGCTTTGGGAAGCATTTAACTGACATGTAATTTGAGCGTCATGCATATTCTTAGATTAATCACTCTTAATGTGTTTAGAACAAAATGCATATTGTGCACGTAAAACAAAAGTGAACGGCTGCACAGCTGCAGCCAAGAAGTTGGAAACTGGAACATCTGTGCGGTGGGTGTCCCGAAACAAAACCATCTAACGAGGTCTGCTGATGTACAAGATCCAGCACAATAACGAACACTTAGAGATTAGAGTAACATGGTCAAATTAAACAAAGAAGCTTTTAGAGTGTTTTTTTTTTCTTTGGTAATCTGAAGGCTGAGTTGTCCTGCTGCTGAACAGCGTGCGTCATCTTCCAGCCTCCACACTGCTGCTGCCGGTTAAGCCGTACTGCCTGGTGAGACACAGCTCCGGAGACCGGCTGGAAAATCTGGTTTATACAGAGTCCACAAACGATTTCAACTTAATGTGTGCATGCTGTGGAAAACATTTTTACTTTTTTTTTTTCCCCCTGTTGGCACATTGCAGCGTGACAATTCTACGGTGGCCCAGAAGTGTCACAACAAAACAAAAGCCACAACACAACACAACACAATAAGCCACAACACAACCAAATTAACCACAACACAACACAATTAGCCGCAACACAACACAACGGCTGCAACGGAAGTTGTTTTTTTTTATCCCGCAAGTTACACTGTGAAGTGCGCAACCACACGAAGTGGGCAGAAGCTGGAGGTTGTTGGAAACAACTCAAAAGTAAGTAAAATACTGATGGCAAATAATGTTTACTAATAGTGCATACCGAGATTAATGGACACCATTTGCCATCAGTATTTTACTTGCTTCTCGAGTTGTTTCCAAAAATCTCCGGCTTTTGCCCACTTCGTGTGGTTGCGCATTTCACAGTATAACTTGCGGGTTAAAAAAAAACAACTTCCGTTGCAGCCGTTGTGTTGTGTTGTGGTTAATTTGGTTGTGTTGTGGCTTATTGTGTTGTGTTGCGGCTTTTATTTATGTTGTGGCTTTTGGTTGTGTTGTGGCTTTTGTTTTGTTGTGACACTTGTAGGCCACCGTACACTTCCCTATTGATGCCAGCGGTGGCAGCTGATGCGTGTCACGAGGTGTGTTTTCAGCGTTAGCTTGAGATGACATGATGTGTGAGCGTATAATATAATATAGTTATATATTATATTATAATATAACTCCACAACACAGTGAAGAACCAACAGAGTGAATGATTATTATTGTTGTATATAATATATGTTATATTGATTTAAAAAAAAAGAAAAAGTGAGCTTTTACAAGATTGAATTTCCCTTCTGGGATAAATAAAGTATTTTTCATTTCATTTCATTTTCATTTCATTTCATAATACATGTGATATTTGGCTGTAGTAGACTCAAATCAAACAGTTAGATAAAACAAACTGATTGTTTTTTTTTTGTTGTTTGTTAATTACATAGCATGTGTTGTGCGAATTGTGAACTTTTATCTAATTTGTTTTCATCTGATTCTACACTTCCACTTTAATTTGTTCTCGGGCCTCTGGGTCCCACTGAGACGACCAGTCGAGTGTGTGACAGCCTTTTCAAAGCCCTTCTGATGTGCTTTTATGCCTGTTTCCGTCCTTGATGTCTGCTAATACAGTCTGTGCCTGATTGTGCGAGCTTCTGATTACCCCACTTTGTTGGGTTTCCCGACCACTGCAATGTGACTTTTTTTTTTTTTACGCTTCTGGAGACTTGACATCAGAGTTAAAGATATTCTCTCAAAACGGGAAGTCTTCAGCAGTTCGGCACCCAGTACCGCAGGATTGATTTAAACTTTGTTGGACAACTCCTGTAAGCTTCGTTTACGGCTATGTATCGCAGAATAAACTGAGAGCCCCAGACTCAAAGGCAGGGCCAAAGACAGGGCATGATATGTCAGAAGCACCCAGCAAGACACATACTAATGGCCTGGACTTGCTGCCATTTAGTCCCTGTCATACCCGGCGAGCTTCAAAATGCCACCGACTGCGTGCATATAAATCATCAGAGGGAGGGAGAGAAAAGAGATACAGTGAGCATTTTTAGCCACAAATTGTTGTTACAGATGCAGGGGGGATACACAACCATACATTAGACTGACAAAACATGGCTCCTGGGGGTTGAAGAAGCTTTTTTTTGCCACATTCAGCTTAAAGGATAAGCAGACAACAATAAAACAGACAGTTAAACTGAGCAAAAGAGGAAAAAAGAGGTAAAAATGTTATACAGGATGATAAAGACGCAGAGTGGACAAGTATAGTCACTTGTTGGGCTGACAAAATTGTGTCCTTTATTCGTTTCTATGTGCAAAAAACTCACTCGCCTGACTTTATCACACAACACGTCCACTCTCTCATCTTAAATTGACTTCAACATTAATCAATTAGGGGGTTTCCAGCCCACAGCTTTGGCAGTTCTCAGCATCCAACTTCCAAAATCGACAGAAAGGAAAAAGAAGATTTAGCGAGCGAGGTGGCAGAGAAAACAGACTGTGTGCTGGATTGGTGTAGACAAACGAGCTCGGTAACAGGGCATTAGCCTTTCGCTGTCACAGGAAAAATCCGCCACACATCAAACCGCCGCTGACTGTCAAATCGGCCTAACCCCATATCTGTCTCACTTAGGCGGCCGGATTGGGGGGAGTGGATGCGCAGGCGTGAGGGAACTTACTTCAAAAAAACCAGACTGTTTTGGTCGTCTACTGTTGTACTTCTACAGAGGATCGTTTCCTTTGTAATGGGAAGTCTGCAGAGCTGCCGATTAGCATCACCGTAAGAGATATCTGGCACCTTCCCACCAGCCTGAGCATCTCTCTGGGTTTCTGTGGTGCTCAAAGGAGGAGACTGATAAATATTTATGCCGCGATGGTACAGATCTGGCAACCACACCTGTACCACACATAGTCTAACAGTCACACAGGCAGAAAAGTAGTGAACTGTTGCCATCTACTGGCCAAACATGGAGACACCACAAGTAAAGCTTTCCGAATAAAGAACATTTTCATCACTTGTATTTCGGCATTTTATTCAGCTTTATACTTCCACTCAGCTCCTTTATACTTTCTACTGCTTTGCATTTTACTGTCAGATTGGAGCCACACAGTTAAACGTCTCATTTGGGGAATAATCTAGAACCTCCTCCCGTCTTGAGATCCACTTTCTGCTAGATTTAGGAATCTGGCAGTGAGGATTGATCAGAAAAGTGAATGTGAGGCCTGAATGACTTCCAGTTCATCCTAAAGGTGAAGGTTCAGGTCATGGTTTTTTATTTTATAATTAGTTGGTTGTTACCGACTTGTGTACGTGGGCATGTTACAAACTCTGACCACAAAGGCCTAAATCAAACCACATCTCCAGAGATTCATAACAGAAGCACAAACTAAACACGATTGGCCAATAAAATATTTTCAACCATGATGCAACAAAAAGTTTATTTTTCTTTTTTAAAGGAAGTGAAAACAGAACTGTTTTGTTTAGCAGAACTTTTTTCTTCTTCTCTCCAACCCATTTAATTATTATAAACTGTTGTACTGGTGCTTCTACTTAAGTACAGTTTGCCTCGTCAGTCATTAATTATTATTGACTTAAATGTCAATAAAAATAAACTCATATAACACAATAACCCGGCCAAGTTCAAGGTTCAAGGTTCCTTTATTAATACCCGAGGGTAGATTTGTTTTGACAGCAAAAGTAGAAATATAAGACAAATAAGTCAAATAATAAAAATAATATTTATTTCTTTTAAATAGTTTTAAAAATATATTATTTAAAAAATAAATTATTATTTTTTTGTATTTTATTATTTGTCTTAATATTTCTACTTTTATTTGCCTTTTCTTTTGTGGATTTATTTTTGATTAATATTGCTTTATGTTGCCCCATTATTTATTTTTTAATTTTATTCATTCTTCTTTTTTTTTTTATTACTATTTTATTGATTTATTTTTTGTAATTTGGCACTCTCACTACTCCATACCAAGGAAGTAAAAAGACAAGATAAAATAAATAAGGTCAAGATAAATAAAAAATAATCTTGCACCATATTGTTTTTTTTTGTATTTAATGTACTTTTATTTGACTTTTTGTAGTAGAGTTTTGAATGAATGCTTTTTACTTTTGCTACTGAAGAGACCTAAATTCTTCTACTCCTTTCACAATAACACTTTTCTGTTTTTGTTTTTTAATTTTGTTGTTTTTAATATATTTTAATGTTCATAATAAGTCATTATGAGGCTCCATATCTGATCTGCAAATACTCCCAGTGCGACATCAAAGGGTTTTGTTGACATTTTTTAAGGATGCAGCACTTTCATTTGTTGCATAGATTGATCATCTCTGATAAATCCAGACAAACCGGACAGAGTGCCGATAAATTATAAATTAAAAGTAACTCGAGGAATCTGGCAGCTCCACTTTCATCTCAGCAAAGTAAAACTCCCCTTAAAAGTAAAACTGAATTCCACTTGCACAGGCCAGTGCACGGTTGGCGCAGGAGCGACACGCATAGCGATCTGACCTCGAATTATGCGGAAAAGCAAGTTTGAACAACCTCTGCAGTTCACTTCCTCCTGCGCTCTTCCATCCTCCGCACCGCCGCTCCGGGACGCACCGGGACTCGGCCGCTCACCTCCACAGGACGCGCCCCGCTGGCCACCTCTGGGTGCCAACACCGGACTCTGCCAACACTACACACAATGGTCTTTGGCGTTAAAACTTTGTGAAGAGGCTTTGGTTGTCAGTTTTTTTTTCTCCACTCGGAGGCTCAGTTCGCTGCGCTCAGGGCGCACAGCTACCTGTGAGGACTTGCCCGCGCCCCGAGTGGGGGAGTGAAGCCCGAGGAGACACACCTTTTACCTCGCTGTCCCTCTGAAAACGGAGGGGAGAAAAAAACACCGATCTGCACACTGAAAATGTCGGCAAATGAAAGAGCAACCCGGGACCTGAGAGAGATCCTGCAAAAGCCTGGAAATGACGCCTGCGCAGACTGCGGCGCGCCGGGTAGGTGGACGGCACGCTTCATGAGCTGTAAATGTCATAAAAGGGAACTCTGGCTTTAACTTCAGGTGTTGGAGATCAGTACATTTACCTGGGCAAACATGATCGTTTTAACTATATGTTAATGCACCTTCTGTTGTTATCCTCTAACCACTGCAGCCTTAAGTAGCTGCTGGACTTCAAACCACATGTTTGAGCCTCTCTCAGTGCTATTCTGCCCTGAAATGTGAGCAAAGGTGAGTCAGGAACTCAGAAGGAGGAGCTCCAGCTCAGGTGAAGCCTTCACTGCTGTGGTGTGGAGGCCACAAGAGGAGAAACTTGTGGAGCTGAGCAGGTCTGGACATGCAGGAGAGCCGGGCCTGCACACACTCATCCAGCTCAGGCTGACAGTGGAGGTCCTCTGTGGGTCCTGTTGGCCCACGTGTAGAGACAACAGGACCATCTGAGGAGCTCCACAGACCTCTATGGGGCAAACAATAATGCATGAAGGGGTAGATTTGAGAAAAGTCGGTTTAAAGTCAGATTGCTTTTTTAGGAGATTATTTTAACTAAATGAAGCGTAACCAGGAGATACACAGCGCTTAACACATTTATTAGACCACCTGTCTAAGACGTTTTACAGGAATGAGGAATTTCAAACTGAATTTGACTTTTTATACCCAAATGTGAGCCACAAATGAATCAAGCATAACATCCAACCACTAAAACAACATTTTCTGTTCAAGAATACAAGTAAAGAACTAGAATTTGACATCAATTATGAAATATTAATGTGCTTTACAATTTTTTATTTTTTTTTGGTTAAAGAGCTTCTACATATTGGTGTATTAACCATTACAGAAACACAAAAAAACAGTGCTGTTAACTTAGTGCAGCTGTGGCATAAAGCTTACGTTTTTGTGGTGGTCTAATACATTTGTTTAGGACTGGTCATAATGGACTCTTGGATTAACTGTAGGATAAATGAAAAGTTAGATAGATTAGATTTAGATAGAACTTTATTGATCCCTTTGGTAGAACCTCAGGGAAATTGTTGAAAGTAAAAAAAATAAAGTAAAACCTGCTTTAAACAAAACGAAACATACTTTATAATCTGTTTATTGTTTTTGTAATATTTATATCGACTTCATGGCAAATGACTGTCCAGTTCAATACTGAAGATGTTTACCTTTCAGTTGAAGCATTTGTTAGCTTCTTAGTAGCTGTAGCTTAGCCGGGGCTTTTATCGCGATATTTGATTTAGCTTCAGCCATTTCATATCTGTTTGTAGAGTAACAAACCGAAGACATTACTCCATCAAAATGAATATGTTTTAATTTTCAAAAATGGTTTGAGGATAGGTTTTTCACAGATTTAGTTTTGACATTAGCAAAGCTAAGCTAACTGTGGCTCAGCGGCTAGCTTGTACTTCACTTTGCCCGCTAGCTCTAGCTGTGTAGTTGACTACTCCTATCTATCTATCTATCTATAGTGAGTTTTAATGTAGTTAAAACTCATTTTTGATGCTACGTTTTGGCTTTGTCGCAGTATCAGCTCCCTACAGTGCCGCAAAATAAGATTTCACTGAATCTGTGCCCTGGGGATGTAGATCAAGGATAACGCTCTGCTAGGCGTATTTACTTTTCTTTGTTCATCCAAGAAAAGCCTACTGAGGAGGTGCTCATAGACACATGTTGGGCTACATTTTTCCGTCATGTCCGATGATTCCTCGTTGTTAGAGACGACAAACAGTGTGTTTGTTAGGACTTGCACATGTGAGCCAGTGTTTTCTTTTTGGCTTTTTTTTTTTTTTTTTCCAGCTCTCGCGCTAAAATTGTGTAACACTGATGGAGCATTAGACATGCGTATTAAGCAGCCAAGCAAAATCAAATTCTAATCTGCCCTTTACGGTTGGTAAAATTAAAGAATGCCCTCTCCGCTCAGACGTCTGTGATTTCGACTGATAAGGCCAAGACTCTCAGAAGCTCTGTTTACTGGCAATCTCACAGAAAGGTTGCCGGGAAGATAAGACAGGTGTGGCCAAAGCAAAGACAACACTTCTTGTATATCTGGGTTCGTGGAGGAAGAAGACAGATAAATTAACTGTAAATACTTCTGGCTTCGTGTCACGGCGATGTGATCTGACTCAGAGGTTGGAATTAGCCTTACGAGTACAAGGCTTTTATCGACTTGAGGAAAATGCTTTCCTCTCACCTAACAACTACTTTGATTTGCCAGAAACCATGTGCGTGATGTGAAGCGTGTTAGAATT